TACCTCATGAGACCCGCCGAACTAACTCGGATTTTCCCAACTTGATATAGAACTTAAGAGGAAAGAAAGGTCTACTTTCCATTCTAGAGAAAATGTACCACAGATCTACAGTGGTTACAATTCTCTTTGGTTAAGTGGCAGTGTGACCACCAGTGTGACCTGGTTTTCAGCTCTTCCTCATGCCACAACCCTAGGAAGCCTGGGTATGTTTTAGGACTGCAGTTCTGGCCAGGACAGGCCATGGAAGCAGCTGTTATGTAGTAGAGAGACAAAGGGAGCAAGGTAAGTAGAAGCAACTTGGGTATACCACAGGGCCTCTGTGTGCTCCTTAAGCTTTCTCATTGGTAAAGTAGGAACAGATTAAACTTTTGTAAAAATTAACTTTGTAAGGAGATAATGAACGTGAAATGCACTTTTCAAGCTGCAGAGCACTATGCAGATATAAGGTAGTATTGCCTTAGGTTCCCAGGGCCTAAACCAGAGCCTGGTGTGTCGCACTCCTGATTGTAATGCCTGGATATTAGCCTAAAAGGCACTTCTAAAGTCCTGGTTAATTTTAAGGCCTGTTCACTTCCACGGCGCAGGCTGTGCCGATGTGTCAGCAGGATGTGTTTACGGTTGTTCCTGCCTTTGGAATCACTCTGGCCTTGGTGGTGAGGAAGAGCAGTTTAGGCTGAGTACCTGTTTGATCAGCCTACTGCTGCTCTGTGTGATTTTTCTTCTCCAACAGCTGTTTTTGCTCCAGATGACACACAACCTAATTCTTAAGGCATCAAAGCCTGGATGGGGGCAGATGCCAAAAATATACACTGCATGGTTCTTAGAACCCTTCTATGGTGCCTTTCCGTGTTCCTAACCTTTTGTTGTTGTTGTCATAATAGACTTTAATTTTTAGAGCAGTTTTAGGTTCTGCACCAGAATGGTGCATGATGTTATAATCAATAAATCTACATGGACATGTCACTAAAAATCCACAGTATACCTTAGGGTTTGCTCTTAGTTTTACATGCTATGGATTTAGACAAGTGCATAATGACAAATATCTATCACCATAGTACCATACTGACTATTATTACTGTCCTAAAAAAGCTTCTGGGCTCTGCCTGTTCATCCACCCATTCACATCCCCTAGCCCCTGGCAACCATCATCTCCATGGCTTTGCCTTTTCCAGGATGTCAAATAGTTGGACCTCCTTTTTCCTTTTTAATGCAGTGGCTCTATGTCATATTTTGTTATATTTCTACCGGCTAGAATAATGGTCAATTTCCTTGAAACAATTCTATGCTCTTCATCATAGTGAACAAATCAGATGAAAAATTAAGAAAAGGGAACAAAGTTCAACTGTTTGAGACCCTTACAAGAACAGAAATAAGGGCAATTAGAGGATTTCTTTGAAACATAGCTGCCTTTAACTTAGCACATAGGTAGGAACGAGTCATACTCAGGTGCATTTAAGTCCCTGAGAAATGCTGTGACTTGTGCTTCATTTTCTTGTGACACCAAGCAGAGATTGGAAATAATCTTTTCAGTGATAATTTGAATTTGAAGATTAACTAGGGAAGAGTCAGAGGACAGCACGGTCGCCCTTCTCATTTCTGAAATGGACTAAGTGGGTTTGATTTAATGTGTTATAATATTTATTTGCTTTATTATTTATTCACTTCCTCTTCAAAATGTCTCCTAGAATATCAGTATTACAAGTTGGTGTCCAGTCTTGTGTGTCATTGCCATTGTATATCAAAAGCTCCCTCTTTTTTCCCACCACCCCAAAATGACTTTGTATCTTAGTTAATACTTTATTAACAAACACCTGTGGCTTTCTTCCAGGGGCTTTTTTAGTTTAACATTTTCCTCTTGAATTTTGTGCTTCCCATCCTGCCAAAAGAAAACAGCCCGGTTTACTGATTATTCAGAATGCTACACAGTGACGATGCTGCAGATATTTTTCTCTTAGCTTGGGTATAAAGCTAAGCAGCTTCTTTTTTAAGGAAAGGAATTTAACTTTTAAGATGTTTTTCCTCATTCTTTGCTACAAGTAGTTTTTTTTTAAACAGATTATTCTATAGAGTTGGCAACAAATTATTTTTAGAGTAGATACTCTCTTTATTTTTTGAAATTCAAATGAAATTCAGAATGTATACTATTTATTTGCAAGGTGGGCACAAGGTCTCAGTTATTTCTTAGACCTGCTGGCTGGGCTCTGGGAAACCGGTGACACCAAGCAGGGCCACAGCCAGCGGGCTGTGTAATCTGCTGCACATGCAATGCCGTGACTTCTACAGCCTATACAGCTCAAGGAGCTTTCTTCTCTGAAGGACCAATACAGAGTTCCAAACTGCACTGCTTCCTGTGCTCTGAGGCCCTGCCAGTTCTTAAAGACAAATTCTTTCTGTGGCACACACTCTGCTTCCTCCCTTGAATTGCTGCCTATCAGCCTCCAAAAGTAGAATGTGTGTTCTTAGACCACTTAAGTATCAAGGGGAGGTGGTCAATCTGGTGTTTACCCTGTGGGAAGCCCTACTGTGGGGCAAGTCCAGACAGAAACCTGAGTCCTCACTGGGAAGTACCTTGAATAGGCCAAGATTTTAGTAAATCTCGATAAGCCCTTATAAGTATATTTTATGTTTGCTAAACTGAAATAAAAAAGACAGCATGCCACATAGTGGTCCTTTCAATGCTTTAAATCAGTTGTAATGAGTACTATATAATAAATTTCCATCATCATTCTTGTCTACTCTCTAGTAAATTTGTAGCAGCAGCAGCAGCAGCAGCAGCAGCGCACCCTACACATTTTAAATAAGCAGCTATAAATTTGTTCTGCTTTGTTGCATATAAATGTACAAGAAACGTAATTTTTCCCTGTGTCTTTCACAGAAAAAATATTTTTCATTTATATATTTTATTATTTAAAGGGGCTGGCTCTTGTTTTCTGGGTCCCAGAGATGATCTTGCCCAATGGCAGCTTCCGCACCACTTAGGCGCCGAAGGTCCGTCCTCAGACTGCTCTGTAGAAACTTCTACTTCTGCTCGTTAAACTACTCTACATGACAACTGTCCCTTCCCTAAGCCTAGTTCCGCCTTTCTCTAATTTACCCAAAAGAAGTACCTTGAATATGCTAAAACTAAAATCATCATGATTCTGAAGAAGGTGTACAGATGTAAACACACATTTAAGACAATTCTGTTAAAGGAGAATTCAGGTTTGGGGAAGGGTTACTATACCATATTATTAAAAATATTAGCTAGCAGCAGAAGTCCAAGAAACATACTGTTGTTAAGATACCAAAATAATCTTACTTAAAAAATTAAAAAACATAACAGGGTCACTGGGAAGCATGGTTATTAATCGCCTTGATTCCACATGAAGTCAAGTTAGAGCATCTAGGAGGGAGACTGGGAGTCCAGCTCCCAGGTGCGGACTCCAGCTCCAGCCTGGAGCAAGGGTTCTGTGAAAGGGAATTTTCTGACCATCAAGGTCACCTCTAAGTAGTACATAAATGAACAAGGCAGTAGCAGTTATTACCGTTTTGGGTTCTGGCTTCTGGAAATCCCTTCCTGGGATGCTCCTGTTGTTCTGTGACCTTCTTTCTCTTTCCTGTTTTAGCTCTAACTCAAGCTGGTTCCTGGGATAGGTGGGAGAGGAAAAGGATGAACAGCTAGATCCTCATCCTATAAAGAACCCTTTTCCTCAAGTTTAATGATTAAATTCTTCATTAATATAAAGTTACCATATATAGGGAAAACTAAGTCTTAGAGTAGTAAAAATACAATATAATAAAGCCAGTAACACCAAAACACATATAACATGTTTAGTCTTTAGTCTTTCTTAGACTAAGAATGTGCTTTAGGATCTCCCAGTGCCTGAGGGTCACCACTCAATGTCAGTATTTAACATGGACTCTTAATGAAGAATTGCAGTGAACTGAATGACAATTAGTAGTAGGATTTACTGTAAGTGAAAGACAGTATTTATAAATTTTCAGCAAGCTACAATATGAAAGCACTGATACTGGAGTCCCATTTCATATTAACTGTCTCTGTATAGTTACAGTATTCAATCCCCAGTTACACTTTTGACCACTAGTGTCCTTAGTACTATGTGCTTTTATATAGCAAATGACCAAGTTCTACGTGTTTGAAGTCAGTGGATTTACCACAGAATAGTCTTGTTTGAGAGATAATATGTATGGGTTTAGGGCTCAGAGTCAGCGAGAGACAGGTTTTTAAATTAGAATATATTAGCTTAATTGTGTGAACCTGGACAATTTAATCCCCTGCAGGAAATAAGATCACCTAACTAGTAGGGTTGATGGGGAGATATTAGGAGACAGTGCATGTGAAGTGCTTAGTAAAATACTTTGCACACAGTAAGGATTAAGGAAATAGTGTTATTATTAGTGTTGTATTGGTTATTAATTCCTTACTCTTTCCTTTGTATATATATCTGGGGCATTGGGTTCTAACTTCCTATTTCTTTGACTGCAAAGGATACTGACAAACTTCTAGGAATGCTAATGTATACGAAGCTTTCTGAATTCTAATTTCAGACAAAGGACACTGCAAACACAGGAGGGGGCCAGACCAGGAGAGCCCTCCTCTGCTGTCAGCCGTAGAACTGCCCACGCCCACCCTGCCTGCCGCTCCAGCCGCCCGCTTCACCGCTGCCTGGTGAGCTCCTCCACTTCCAGCTGCAGGCTGTTGATCTTGTCCCCGAAGTCCTGCTTGAAGAGCCGGTTGTCCAGTTCAGCAGACTGGCGGCCTCGCTCAGCCTGGCGTAATCTGGATGTGAGCCATATGAACTTGTGATAAAAAACAAAAGCCATGGTGGGGAGGAAGACCAAGTTCACAACACAAAATAAAACCCAAGGAAGAAGGCACAGAGAGACACAGAGAGGAAAAAAAAAACATTGCAGGACACAGGGGAAGAAATTATGGGGAAAAAGATGGAAAAGAAATTCTAAAGAAAAGCAAGATGAAGGTGAACCAGGCAGAGGAAAAGTGATTTTCCATTTTTTTTTTATTCTAGTACTACAGTTTACAGCCATTAGATGATTAACAACAAAACATCACTTTTTAGAAAATCCATATCCAAAGCCAACCTTAAGCACACAGTAATTAAAGTCAAATCCACTTTTTTTGTTGTTTTTATTTTCTAATTGGTTTGAAAAACCAGTTGGTTCTTTATATTTCTGTTTTATACAAATAACTGGAACTTGTAAATGGGCAACTACCTTCTCATATATATGAAATCAGAATATTTTTCTGGTCCTTCCCCTAAACCACCAATTGTATTAAATCACTGGACATTATACATCAATCCTTACCCAGGCTTTGGGTTATTATATTAGCAGAAGCCTTCGTTAGAGTTTGGCCATATCTTTCATTTTCTTTTCCTACCCAGTGGTGTGTGAGTAGTGGACAAACAATTCGGCATAGGTCTGTGTAAGGTTCCTGACCATAATCTCTGGGAGACTCTGACGAACGTTTTCTTCCTTATTTCCTATCATTTTGCACCTATTTAAAGAAGCATGTGCTAAGAGGTGAAACATCCAGGGCTCTATAAAGTAGAATATGGAAGCATGCTATGTGTAGTCTTTAAAATGTTTTTTTGTGTGTGTGTTTGAGCATTCCTTCTAAATGCTCATAGAAAAGGCAAGTCACCACAACACATTGATGAAGATAAAAATAGGTGCAAAAGTATAAATAAAATAAGTTGAAGAGCAGAAGATCTTCCATGAGATTGGTCATGTGCTTGCTCTTCGACTTGACTTTGGTTCAAGTCTGCAAGGACCTATCAAAGCATACATGAAATCTATCTTATTCTCTTAATTCTGATTTTTCTAAGAAGGTACAGAATTTCAGGAGCAGGAAGCAAAGGGGTTACCTTTGTCCCAACCTAAGCAGCTGAAATGCTGGAAATAATACCAGAATGAAAAAGGAGGAAAAGAAACTGCCATGACTTTTTCAGGAAATAAAGGCTTATTATGTAAAGCCTGTCCCCCCAACTCAAAAGTCATTTTTAAAAAATCATGTTATTTATAGGATTAGTTACAATGTAAAGTCTAGAAAGGGTTAAACCTGTGGTCACTTAAGAGAGAGAGGCCCTGTTACTTAGTGTTTGCAGGTATCTATTGTGAATCTTTATTCTTAGACTAAATAATAATAAAGAATATTTACCATTTCTCTATATCCTACTCTGGAATAGTTTCCTAATAATTAGATTGTTAGTTTCCTAGAAACTTTAGCAAACCCCCATTTAAACAAAAAGTAACAGAAACTCTTAAGAAAAGGTTAATAGCACGGAATGACAGGTAGGAAACCATCACTCATGTCAATACCTCATCTACTTTACTCCAAAAGGAAAAGTGGGATAGATTTAAAAAATGTGTAGTGTATTTTTTTTAATAGGAGAGAAGTATTTTTATGAAAACTGTTCTCTCTGAACTACCTAAATAGGAAGTGGAATTGCAGAAGAATGGCAGAGGTAGAAGGTGACAAATATTAGGAGGGTTTTCCCAAGCTTCCACGTCATTATGTTACCATAAGCTACCTAACCACTAACTTTATTTCTATGTACTTTAAAGAAATGTAAGGATGCTGTTTTCCCACCCCCAAAGTCACTAAGGCAAAAAAGTTACAAGCAATCTTGGTTACTGAGAATAGGACTGTAGTGAAATACTAAGTACTTATTCTGGTTTGGGAATTAAACCTATATAACAAAAGTGAAAAAGGGTCAGGTCATGGCCTAAGAGACACAGAACTACTTTGGAAGAGTCCAAGTCCATATGGTCGTCACCTCTAGTTCACTACATCGCAAGGGCAGGACAGGCTCGCTGACACAGAAAATGCAGCTGGAATCTGATAGTCAGGGACTGGGTTGTAAAGGCATCAGTAACATATATACAAAGCTTCAATTCCCTAGGCTTCTTTTTTAAATGGAATAGTTATTTATTGGTCAACTCAGAAGTAATTTCTCAAAGTTTATTTGGCATTTAATTAAGAACTTATACTAAATTTTCTAATTCTGAGGAGAAAATAAAGAAGAAAAAACACAGCCTATATATCAGGCTGTTTTTTTTTTAAGTCCAACAAATTCAAAGTCATATTTTTGGTGATGTTTTATATAAATCAGAGCCTAAATATAACAGATTTCAGATTTCTTCCTTTTATAATCAAGTGACATCAGACTTGCGAGGTGACCCACTGCAAAATGCCTAATGATGTTGTTTTGGGATTAATTTATTTGCTGCACTATTTAAGGTCTTTGCCTGTTTCACCAAATCCTTTTCACTAAATTAATAAAATAAAAATAAAAATGGAGTGAAAGGGGAATGAGAAAATGGATAAACAGGAAAGACAAAAATAGCAAGAGAATAAGTCAGCTTAATACTTGAAGAGATGTCATTATTTTAATTCTGTCTGCTTTAAGTGCCAAGTCAAAAAACCACTGAAAAATAACTTGATGTACTTCAAATATATAATTATGAACACTAAAATTAATTTGTTGAGTCACAAACATATAATTACTTATAAGCAAGCACTGAGTTAACTTCCTGAATAGACCGATACCTTTTTATTTAAAATCAGCCAAATCAGAGGTTTTGAGCCTATTTATTAATTTGCACATAAATTTTGAGTTAACATCAATATTCAGTGCCATTGAAAATGCTCCCTGGTCAAGAATCATCTGAGTAAAAGAAATCATCCATTCATCCATTCATTCATGCGTCCATTAAATGAATGTCTTGTAAATTCAAGGCACTGACCCAATGAGGGAACCTAAGGAATTAGTTAACTAACCTTAAAAAGTTCACACTATCATCAGAAGATCTGATACATGTATCAAGAGTACAAGGTAAGGCAGAAATGAGAGGTGCTATAAGCAGTATGGGTAGGTATGGATATAAGGCCATGGGAATTCCAACAAGGACAGTTTGGCAGATTATTTTTAGTTGGGAAGAGGTATCAGGGAACTTTGGGTAGGGGGCATTTGATCCTGAATGCAAAAAAATGTATCTGAAGAACAAGAAAGTGGGGAGAGAAAGGGCATTTCCAATTGGTGGAACTACTAGGAAAAAATAGATGGGAAAAATGGGAAGCATGTCTGGGGACCAGTAAGTAGTTTAGCGGAAGTGCAAGAAGGGTGATCAGTGGGTGTAAAGGTGGCAACAGAGCCTGGCAACACTGAATGACCACGGGTGTCGTGACTCATTTGAGCTGGAAGTCGCAGCCATTTCTCTTGGCACCAGGAAGACCACAGTGGTTTTAGACCAAAAGTGAAACAGAAGAGTAGCACAGAGAGAGGCTGTACTTTGTGAATGGTAGGTACTGGTGGGAGATAGCTTGTCAGAGGATGAAAATGCAAGACTGGTCTCCAGATAGAGGACTGGGCTGGAGACAGACATATCTCAGAGTCATGGGCGGGAGGTGACAGTGGAAGCAATAGAACTATTTGGGAGGAAGGGGGAAAGGGGGTTAAAGGTATTAGAAGGGCCCTCAGTAGCCCTACATCACCTTGCACCAAAGTATTCAAAGACTTTAGTGATGAACAGTAACAGAATTCACAAACATATTTGAAAGTCCTGTCATCCTTGTTAAGTATCCATCCCCTAACACATGACATTGAAATGCGATTGATAGGGTAGAGTTCTGCTGTTTAGAATAGTTGTGAAAGGCTGATGTTTCTTTAAAATGTTTTCAGCAACATGTTAGGAAACAAAAAATTTTATCAGCTTTCTTTCTACCAGCATGCTTGGTGTTAGGATGGGAGAATTTTACATATTTTTTGTTTGCTGAATATGTAGTACATTCTCTTCCTTCCAGCACTGAAGGCCCAAATGCTTCACTAAAGAAACAGCACTTTACCTTTGTTCCAGTTGTTTAATGGTAGCAGCCATCTGATTGGTCTTCTCTTCCAAGCGACTGTTTAGTTCACTTTTCTGCTTCATCCCTAAGTCTGAACTCTGTTATAAAAAAATTATGAGTGATGTATATATAGCATAAAATCCTGAAATAAATCGCACATGCCTTTTGAACCTAGTGGTAAGTGGGGAAATAGAGAAATAGAAATTCTCATATATTTGGGAGTCAATTACCAAGTATAGAAAAAACAAAAAAACGACATTTAAAATTAGTAGTTATATGCAGCTTTGTCACAAAAATCAACATCAGAAGGTTCATCAATTTAGCATATTCCGGTACAAAAGCAATGGAATACATAACTCAGGTGGCAGGTTAGAATGGAGCATAGAAATTATCTTGTAGGATACAAAAGACTCCCTTTCCCCACTAAAATCTGAAAAGTAGCCATAGCAATGGTCAGATTCCTAAAGTGATTTATAGGCAGCTAGCCTCAAAACGAGATGTGACTCTTTCTTCTTGTACTTAAAGTGTGACTGTAGACATCACGAGGGACAGAGGCAAGCCCTGAGACTGTACAGAACCAGTGAGCCTGTTCCTCCTACTTCCCCTACCTGAAGCTTGAAGGCAAGTTCGTGCTTGAGAGCCCTGAGATCGTCTAGCTGCTGCCGCAGACACACCAGGGCATCCTGCTTCTCACAGACATCCTTCTCCAGCATCTTCATAGCCAATTCCATCTCCTGTCTCATGCTGATCTGGACCTCCAGTTCTTTTTCAACATCCTGCCCCCAAAGCAAATAAATTGCTTACTCTCTCTCCCCATCTAAGCACAAACCATAAAATTCTACAGGAAGACGAAGACCAAATTCTCAGATCTGAATGTTCTCGTAAAATAGCTATAAGCTATCATTTGATGCAGAGACATTAACAACAATAATAATTGGGATAATTACAATAACATTTACTCAATAATATACAAATCTGAAGAGCTCAGTAGGCCAAATGTAGTGCTATTTAATGTGTAAACCATGCACATACCTGGGGTACTTCATCAGATACTAAGATAGAAAACTGAAGTCAAGTTATTTATTTACTTACTTACGTATTTATTTACTTGTTGTTCAAGTACGGTTGTCTCCATTTTTCCCCTTTCCCTCCCTTGATATCAAGTCTTATTATAGAAATATATATAACTGTTATAGGCAAAATGTTAATTGTCAATTGTTAATAAGCTAACAAAGTATAACTTGTTAATTGCTAAATGAGGCAGTTCCACCTGTCTTTAATTTGGTTGCTGTTGACATACTCCAGAGCTCAAGAAACCCCAAAGATACTTTGGGTCCCTAGGGTAACATTTCAATTACTGAGAATTAGTCAATACAGCTGACTGAATTTTTATCTTCACTTAACATGAACCCCCTTTTTGTTTCAACCATTACCACTGCAACATTATTTGGATGATGAAAGATACGAACACCTGAGGTTGTTCTGCATTCAGGCTATGATGCCCCAGGCACACCTAGGACCTTCCTACTTGCTTGGTTTCTTTCCAATTATTCTTTTGTGATTCAAGGATGTGGGACTTCGTGTGTGAAGTTTTTATCACATGCTGTTTAACTGGGGCACTCCTTTGAACATGGTTAGCATGATAGAAAATGAATCAGACTGCTTCTTATAAAGCCAACATATATTATTTGTAGAAGCTCCCTTATGGAAGGTATTTTGAGATCTAATTCAAAAACACATAGAAGGAAAACAAATTATTTCAAGGATGTAAAAACAAATATTTTTTTCCCTCAGAAAATGGAAAATTCCGTTCCATACACTATTAGCTTGTGATAATTTTTAGTACGAATTGGGCCATCCTTCATTTTCAGCCTTCTCCCTGTTGTGAGAGACACCGCTGGGGAGCCCACTGGTGTGTCACACCACCTAAATTCCTGGAAGGGTTCCCATACTAATACCATGGGTCTGTTAATGTACTAATGCTTAGATAAAGCCTAATGCAAGGATGCTATTCCTTACTATACATTCTTATACATTTTTCACTTTAAAAATATTTTAAGTCTAATATTGATGACACATTTTTCTACTTACATATAAGAACACAATTAAATTCAGAAATAACAGCTAAAATAAGAAGAGTACAATTCTACATTAACGATTTTTAGTAATGAGAAGAGATGTCCCCTCTAAGGAGACATGTCAGAATCTTTGCACGAGTGAGGACTGAGGTGGGGAGGGGGCATTCCATAGTTTAAAAAGTAGGTTCCATACACATATGCTTTTGCAATACAAACTATAAAAGCAAAAAAAAAAAAATTGGCAAAATCCTATTGGCTGTTGAGAATACTCAGAAAATGGACTATAAAAGCATTTTTGGGAACTGGGTTAATAAGAGTACAAAGCAGTTTTATAGGAGCCATAAAAATGTGTCAGGACACTGTTGATATTCCTGACTGTAAGGTAAAACCCCTAAGTAGGTTGTTACACGTCAACGTGCCCCTGATCTGTCAGGATGTAAGCAAAGTTTACCAGTCGTAATTGTGTTTCTTCCTTTAAATGCTTTCTTGCTTCACTTAGAGCTTGCCCTTCTGAAGTTCTGTCTTGCTTAGGACCCTTGAAAAAAGAAATAAAACAGTACATTTTAAGGATTTGAAGAATCTATACAGCCCTGACTGGTGTGGCTCAGTGGACTGAGTACCAGCCTGTGAACTGAAAGGTTGCCAGTTTGATTTCTAGTCAGGGCACATGCCTGGGTTGCAGGCCAGGCCCCCAGTAGGGGGTGCATGAAAAGCAACCACACACTGATATTTCTCTCTCTTCTTCCCTTCCCCTCTGTCTAAAAATAAATAAATAAAATCTTTTAAAAAATCTATACAGTTAGCTAACACTGGCATTACTATTTGTTAAAGAAAAATGATTATACCTAAGCAGGTATGACAATGAGTGAAGACAACAAAGAAACTGAAGAGGTTTAGTAAATTAAAAATTCTTAAGCTGAATTGGAGATTTTTTGACATTTTGTTTAAAGTCCTTGGTTAGTGTACCAAACCAAGTAGTACATGTCTTAAAAATCAGTCTCTAAAAACAAAATAACATTCACTGTCAACTATGAATTGGGCCAAAAATTCAAATGGTAATATATTCCTTCTCCAGAGATCTGACCTCTGGTCTCTCCAACCATCAAGAGAGATCACAGCTGAAAATAAGGAGGTCATCAGAAAATTCTTCTGAGTGGTCACAACTGTTTTCACAAAGTCCACACATTAAAGTCAAAAGTTATTCATAGAAAACCACTTTGGTCCCCACTCATCCTAGTTACTTGCTCCTTAGGGGCCATTTTACTTATTTGTTTATATTTTTTATTCTCATCTGAGGACATGCTCATTGATTTTAGAGAGAGGGGAAGGGAGGGGGAGAGGGAGAGGGAGAGAAACATTGATGCAAAAGGGAAACAATGACTGCTTCTCGTATTCACCCCAACGAGGGACCAAACCCACAACCCAGGTGTGTGCCCTGGTCGGGAATTGAAACCATGACCCGACGGCACTCCAACCAAATGAGCTTCACAGGCCAAGGGTAGGGACCGTTTTAACAACTGGATGTCTGGATTCCTAAGTCACAGTAGGTTAGAAGCACGAGGATAAAAGGGAACAGGAAGAACTTTTTAAAGAAAGCAATACCAACAGTAGTAAGAAGAGATGCCAGAAAAGACATAAAAAGCAGAAAATAACACCCACAGCCATCTGGGAATATTTAAGTACAGGTGCTAGAAGCTCTATGAATTTCAATAGCTCCTTAAAGTAGCACCATTATAATTTAATATAGAATTGCCAGTGTTGATAATTATGATCTTTAGTCATCATAAAGAGCTAAAGCATTACATTATATCCTCCACTTAAGAAGGCTTAGAAATGTACAATATATAAAAGGTATGTAAAATATCTGTTTAGATATATATAAAAACTTTTGTACTTTAAGGGATTAAGTTATCTAGAAAATTAGTTTATATAGTAACTCATTACCAGTGGTATCAGATAAACACTTCTTATGAAATAGTAAAATTGTCTAAAATAATGACACATTTAATATAACAAATACAACACTTAAATACAGTACTGTTCATTAGTACATAAAAACAAGAAACTGAATTAGACTACTTCTTGAAGTCTCTACACAGATGGAGATGGCGGTGAATGCAAGGAGCATCTGGAGGAGAAGGGACACCACCCTCCCACAGCCTTCACTGTTCACTAGGTTTCGAGTGAAGTCTGAGTAGAAACAGTTTGCTTGATATATGTGAATGCTCACTGCTTCCTAACAGTCCCCCAGAGGCTCCCCCAGCTGCCAATGCACAGACACCTTTTCTAGGATTATTTTATAAATCCAGTAAGATTAACCTTTCGATTGGATTCCAATATGTAGGAGCTTTCCTCCTTAACTCGTTCCATTTCTTCTTGCAAGGTAATGATCCTGTTGTTTGCAACCGCAAGCTGTTGATAAAATTAGAAAAACAATCTTTTATCTTTCTTTTAGTACACAGGACAGGATAATTCATGATCTGCTAGGACACTGTTTTCAGGCTTAGATATTCTTAGAAGCAAAGAAAGCTATTTATAACCCCATAAAAATGTCATTATAGGGAACTTAGGAGAAATAGTTTGAAAGTAGGTTAGATACAAATTTAAAATATCTCCTTTTGCTGCTTTTCATGTAAATTTTTTTTTAGTACCAAAATGTTAATTTAAGATTGCTTACTTTAAGGGTATCCTCATGGATAACCTGTAATTATATTTAGTTACAAGACCTATTTCTAAAATGTTTAAGAGGTCACTTCATGTGTTGGGACTCAGGAACCCTCCATAAGACTTTTTACAGATGATTTTTAAAAGAGTGAAGAAATGAACTCCTATATTCTCACTCTAAAAGGTGCCATTGAGCACCGAAGAGAGTTTTCATTTCAAAACCTAAAACACAGAAGGTAATGTTATTAGCAGGAGACTGCTAAGGGGAAATGCTGATATCCCCATTGCACAGGAGGGAAAAGTAAAGTGGAAACACCTCTTCCTTCCCACTGACCTCTATTCCCCACAGAGAAGGTGAAGGCACCTAAAAGGGGCTGGGAGTGGAACTGAGCAGACAGATGCCTACCCACCAGGCTAGGCTCCCTTTCCATTGCCTCTTCACTAGCAGTGGGTGCAGGTTCTGCTTGGTTCCTGTGCTCACGTGTAAGCACAGAGGAGCTAGGGCTCAGGCAAGCTTTCTAGAGTAAGTGTGGAAGCCCATTTCTCTGTCTGCTCCATGGACCTGATGGTGTGTGAAGAAGTAACTCTGACACATCCAAGTGCACTCTCAGACAGCGTCTTCCAAGATCTCAGCATCAGTGTGAGTATTACTCTGCAGAAATGGTGACTGCAGATCCAAATGGGCTTTCTAAATCCTCTGTGCTGTGTACAACGACAGAGTGGATGTTTATATCTTCATCTGTTTAATGCTCTTTCTGTTATATTGGTTCAGAACTTGGGAGGGGAAAAAATGTCTGTTTTCTAATTTTTAAAACTCATTCTCTTAAATCCAAAAGAGAAATGCAGGCCTCGTTAACTTTATCTGCTCTTTAAAAAGCTTACACATAATGCTTACCTATCTCTAAAAGTTCAAAGTTTAAAGGAAATGAATCTTCTTGGTAAAAGAAATGTCAATGAATGAATAAGTTAACATTTTTAGTAAAAAAAAAAACTAGGTCTGGAGCATAATCTTGTGACTGAGGGAATAAAATGAACAACTATACATGTAACTGAGTGCTTGCGAGGTGCCAGGCACTGGTCTAGGCCCTTACATGTTAAATCATTTAATTCACACAAAAATTTTATTGCTCTTATCCCCATTTTACAGGTAGGTAAAACAAGGAACAGAGGTGTAAGTAAGTAGTTGGCCCAGGATTAGAAAGCCAGAGGTGGGACGTGAACCCAGGCAGTCCTGCTCTAGAGAACATGCTTAACTGCTGTGCCGCACTGCCTCAATAACTCTAATAGCAGTAGGATCACAGTATACAATTTCTGTGCAGAATAGTTTGAAAGCTTTGTGGGATCTAGTTCTAAGGGTCATATCCATAAATTAAAGTTTTAATTTAAGAATCTATGCTCAGAAATGAAGCCCACAGAGCTGAGTATTAAAGAGGGTGTTTTTTAATTGAATTAAGTGGGGTGCCATTGGTTCACAAAACCGTACAGCTTTCAAGTGTATTACTCAACAAAACATCATCTGCACACTGCATCATGAATTAGGAAGGTGTTTTGAAGTTACAACAATGTTAATATTTGTTCTGAAAAAAAAAAAAAGATTAAACAGTGTTTCCTAGCTAGTATTTTAACTTGGTTTTATTTATCCCACTGTATGTAACAGAATAGTTAGAGATAGAGAAGACAATCTCTGCCACCTGGAAAAATTTATTTAAGGTTTTTAATAAAAACATCAAATGCTATTGAAAAAAAAGAATATGTAGCTCACACTTTGGTAGTTAGGAAAAAATATGTTAATCAGAAGTAGAACATGAAATTAACTTTTCTCTTCTTATTTTGGGGAATTTCCTAAGAGTATTCACATATATATTCTTATCAGATTTGAGAGTAATTGTGAGGCTGAAAGAGGAAGTATAAATACCCTCATCTGTCAGCAAGGGAACTGGGCCTTTGGAAGTCAAGTGACATACTTGCTCAGCAGCACATGACATCTGGCATGTCATGTAAGCAGGAACTACTGGTCTTCTGACCAGTGCTCTTTGTCTTATCTACCCACCACCCCAAAGAGAAAATAAGGCCTTCACAGGCCTTATTTCCTGCAAAGGCCTTATCTCCAATCTGGCACACATAAATCTTTGCCTAGCTCTAGCACGTCAGTAGTACCTAAAATGTTTGTTGAATGAATAAATGATGCATATCAGGCTATATGCTAAACATTAACTCTAGGTTAGCTCAGAAAAGAAATGTAAGAAGCAACATATTTGATCAGCCTATGTTCTAGGCCTACATAGTCCAATTGGATAACTGAGACCCTTAAGAAATTACTAGCCATTCCTAGTCAGAACAAGGAGTTATGACCTATAGCAGATATTATCTGAAAAGTCAAGTCTTTTTTTTCCAAGGTTCCAGAGAAATTACTTTCCACTAATGTACATTACTAAATTCTGTAAGTCAGTCAAAGAGTTTCCAAACACTTACTTCCTCTGTCAGTTTGGTGTTGGATTTTTCTAGTGCATCCACTTTTGCCTGAAGGTTGTTTACAGTAGCACTATCAAGAGAAGAAAAACATAATGGTCTCTTTTGAGAAACAGAACAATTGCCTGTAATTTCCTTTTAAACACCCATCATACTTTCATTCATTGTAATGTGCACGACTTTTGATAGACTTGCAAACTCTAAAGTAGCTCACAAGGGGATGTCTGTCTTAGCAGCACATCACTGGCACTGATGTTTGCATTTAGTAAGAATGTGTTGAAGAAAATAAAAGAGCAAATGCACCATACAGTAAACTTTAAGGCTTACTTATACAAGTCATAGATATAATAACAGGCTACATGGATTAAATGCTTGCCATACAACAAACACTATTCTAAATGATTTTATTGCATTATTTCATTTATTCCTCTCAACAACCCTAGGCATTAGATATCCCCAATTAAAAGAAACTCAGGCATGAAAGAGTAAAATAGTGTCATGCTTATATTTCATTTGTCAATTGTAACCATATCTTTGCTTGATTAATATCTCCATAGTTCAATGTAGTCATTATTAGTTCTTGGTCCCCAGAGAATGTACTTAAATTGGTCTTGAGTTTTCTAGCAGGAACCAAGATGGCAACTTAAATTTTGATGTAATCATGTTATGGTCTTTAGTTAAATTAAAACAATTATCTTTCATAGGAAAACTATAAACAAGATAATAATAGATACATTAAATTCTTCTTAATTATTTGAGTCTTTTTAGAACATCAATGTGCTTGAGAATACCAAGAAATTTTGGATAGTTCTCCTCAGGAGAGGGATTATTTCATGTTCTGGACAGTTCTGAAAAATACCTGATGAGTACTTGGTAAATTAATGGTAGTGAAGAGAGAGTAAATTAATACTATCAATTCAATGTGTAAATGAGAACTACAAGGGACCAATGATATATGATTAATCTAAAGGTACTAAGACAATGAGGGGTTTACCCAAGATTAGTCCTGAAAAATGTGTCTAGATCTGCTGAACCCAGAGGGCCACCATTTTCAACAGTAAATAGTAGGTCCTTGAATAACATCATTTCTTTCAACATAGTCTTGTTATAATGTTTATGAGATGCTGTAGGAACTTAACTCCTGTTTATATCAATTAGCCTATGGTAAAATTGATTTTGTTATATGTTGTTTTGCTTAAAGTTGCAGACCCTATTGACAATGTTAAATGAGGACTTAACTATATGTCACATATTTAAGAAACTTTACTGCCTTTCACTAAGGGTCGACAAAAGAGTTAAGTGCCATTTTCTCCAGTGCCTACCTCAGTGCCTGGCAGGCAGGAATTCTATATATATTTGTTGAGTATTGTCTCAATTTATCCTCACTCATCAGTTTACCCTTCCCTTCCCCCACAACAAAACCCCCAGTAAAGTAATAATGTTGATTCAAGCTTTACTTCAGATGTCTGTTGAGTTCTTCTACATAGTTCTTCTGGTCCAGAATTGCAGTAATCTGGCCATCTCTGGAGGGGGGAGAAAGGGAAAGAAAATAGAAATAAAATAATATTAGAAATATCAAGATCCCCTCCCCCATTTTTTCATAAAACAGAATGGAAATTGTGGCATAAATACAATGAACCAGAAGACAGACCTGACGTATAACCCCTCAATGTCAATAAGAAGGACTTGAAGGTTTAAAAAAAGACAAGACACACAAAAACCTGTATTAAGAAAGCCTCTGTTACAGCCTATACACATCAGTTACTTAGGTTACAGATATAATGTTAAAATCTATCAGAGGCATTTAAAGAATTAACATTTTCTTCTCCCAACTGATAGATTTTTTTAGTTTAACTAGTATTATAATAATTTTTCCATTTGTTGTAGGAACTGCAATAAGCTGACTCTGGTGTGATAATGGTTGTTTCTCAAGGGATGGATATATGTGCCTTTAAATGTCATTTGTATTTCAAAATGAATGGTATAAAAGGCTTTCATAAGGATTGGTGTTTATTGTTACATGAAAAGATCAAGTGTGAAAAGAAAAGTTCACTTCTGGAACCAACTAGCATAGTAGGCAAACATTAAACAGCCAGACTTTTCAACAGAAGATAAAATCAAGGCCACATCCCTCTACAACTACTTAAAGAATAAATGATACAATCTTAGCTCGATGTCCAAGGTTGACAACTTCAGACTAATTATGCTTTCAACTGCTGAATTCATAAAGGGCATAAGGTGTGCTTTGACCTTCAATTTCTAGGCAGTATAAGAATTAAAAAAAAACAACTTTTATTTTGAAATACCTGTAGATTTACAAGAGTTGTAAAAGTAATGCCGTTCCCTTATACTCAACCTTAATAGTAGCATTTCATATAACCCCAAGATGCACATTTAATATTGTACATTAGGCTGAGAATGCAATCCTTCTTGCCAAAAAAGACCATGCTTTCAAACACTATTTGAAGAGATGAAGCACTGAATGCCTCTTATAAAAATGTTAATTCTGCTTTCCCCTGAACCACATAAGAGGAAAATCACTTTCAGTAAGCCCCTTTTAGGGGTTAGTAGACACAATGGACAGTGTTGGCACAACACTATCACAGCTGTGCCATTAGAAATTCTTTCAGCAAGTCTGTTAGCAGAATCGTTGTAAACTGTAAATACTATAAAAGAACATTAAATAAAAAAGAAACCTGATTTTCTTTGTACATACCCTTCACTACCTTTAGTGCTGTTCCCATCCTTGAGATACATAGAAAAGTCTATAACACCAACCTACAGAGAGAATTTTCAAAATTTAATATAAAGTTAGATTCTTTTCCCAAGGTATAACATGGCTTATTCTAGACTCTCAAAATAGTTATACACTCATGATAATTACTAAAAAATTTTAATGACATTCTAATGTTTTACTTTTATTGTAATCAAGAATTGACAAGGACTGTAAGTAAAGAATCAAGATTAAGTGAATGGAACTAGAAGACAAGATAGACTAACAAGGTCAACAGAAAACTGAATATAAATTTAAAGTTTCTTTCTCTTTTGCTTATTTCAGTTATTCTGCTACTGATCCCCAATATCCACTTTTAGAAATAACTTTTAAAACTGTAATTATAGTAACCATGTACATGCCCTTAGAGAAGTTTTAGAAAATATAGGTAAACAAAAGGAAGTAATATAAAACACCCATAATCCCAACCCCCTGAAGATGACCACTGTGATATTTTGTTATTTATTCTTCCAAATTTTCACTGATGCATATCTAGGTTTTTTAAGATTGCTATTTTATCATTCAACTGATTTCTTTTTTAAAATCAACATCAAAATATCCTATTTCCTTTTCCATTTTCCCTGAGTAAAATGTAACATATTGTAGTATTTCATACAGAAGGGGTGAGACACAGTCATATAGTGAAAGCAGTACGTTTATTTATTGGGCAACGAATATGTGCCAGGCCCTGTTCTAAGTATATCACATGAAGTAGCTTCTTCATTCCTCACAATACCACTGTGAGACACATACAGTATTTCTTATCCCCGGGTTACAGGTAAGTGATCTGAGCCATTAAGAAACTAAGTAGAAAACGGAGAAGCCAGAATCTCAGCCTAAACAGTCTGGCTTCTGAGCCTTCACTCTTAACTACCATGCTATACTGACTATTACTATTTAGCCTGTGTGTATAATTTAGCCTGTATATGTATATTATAGTCTGCACAAAATATTTTTAACAGGGGTCACAGTCAAGATAAGAATTTGAAAAATATTCAGAATGCATAAGTGAGCCAAGTGGGAAAGTAAACAAACTAATTTTTTATATTCCCATCAAAATAAAAGAAAATCCCATTTATGACTTGAAGAATTTCCCCTAATTTGGCTGATCCAATCTAATCAATCCAAGTTCTCTGATAACAGAATTCAGAGTGACACATTTGGTAACCGAGTATCCTTCTCATACCTGAGAGTCCAAATCTTCTCCTTTCATACAGAAATTAGCGTCAATGACATTCAGTCCCACCAACAAACCAGCAATTATGGCTCCTTCTTCTTCCATCATGAGGGCATTTGGTTCATAGAATTCACTGTAAGAAAGATCCATGGAATGCTCTATTGTAATAAAACCTCAAGAACCAATGATATAAATCACAAAACAAAAAGAAAAATGCTTGCCTCGTGGTTGAATATGGCCATCTATAATAGCAAAAAAGTTTTAAAAAAAGGATGGCTTGGTACTTTATTTAGATGATGGATGCATAAATATACTCTAGATAATCAATAGTCCAGATGAAAGTAAAGTGATCAAAATAGTATTTTTTAAAAATATATTTTATTGATTATGCTATTACAGTTGTCCCATTTCCCCCTTCACTCCCCTCCACCCTGCACACCCTCTCCCACCCACATTCCCCTCCTTTAGTTCATGTCCATGTGTCATACATATAAGTTCTTTGGCTTCTGTATTTCCCATACTATTCTTACCCTACCCCTGTCTATTTTCTATCTACCATCTATGCTATTTATTTTATGTGCCTTTTCCCCATCTCTCCTTCTCCCACTCCCCTGTTGCTAACCCTTCATGTGATCTCCATTTCTGTGGTTCTGTTCCTGTTCTAGTTGTTTGCGTAGTTTGTTTTTCTTTTTGTTTTAGCTGTGGTTGTTAATAATTGTGAGTTTGCTGTCATTTTACTAAACCTATTTTTCATCTTCTTTTTCTTAGACAAATCCCTTTAACATTTCATATAATAAGGGCTTGATGATGATGAACTCCTTTAACTTGACCTTATCTGAGAAGCACTTTATCTGCCCTTCCATTCTAAATGAAAACTTTGCTGGATAGAGCAATCTTGTATGGAGGTCCTTGCCTTTCATGACTTGGAATACTTCTTTCCAGCCCCTTCTTGCCTGTAAGGTCTCTTTTCAGAAATCAGCTGACAGTCTGATGGGAACTCCTTTGTAGGTGACTGTCCCCTTATCTCTTGCAGCTTCTAGGATTCTCTCCTTCATTTTTACCTTGGCTAATGTAATTATGATGTGCCTTGGTGTGTTCCTTCTTGGGTCCAACTTCTTTGGGGCTCTCTGAGCTTCCTGGACTTCCTGTAAGTTTATTTCCTTTGCCAGATTGGGGAAGTTCTCCTTCATTATTTGTTCAAATAACTTTTCCACTTGTTGCTCTTCCCCTTCCTCTTCTGGTACCCCTATAATTTGGATATCGGAATGTTTAAAGATGTCCTGGATGTTCCTAAGCCTCTCCTGATTTTTTGGAATTGTTTCTTCATTTTTTTTCTGGTTTGGTGTTTCTTTTTCCTTCTGGTCCACACTGTTGATTTGAGTCCCAGCTTCCTTCCCATCACTATTGATTACCTGTGCATTTTCCTTCATTTCACTTATTGTAGCCTGCATTTTTTCATATAATTTGCCAACAAATTCAACCAATTCTGTGAGCATCGTGATCACCAGTGCTTTGAACTATGCATCTGATAGGTTGCATAGTACCTCTTCGTCGCTTAGTTGTATTTCTTCTGGAGCTTTGATCTGTTCTTTCATTTGGGTTATTTTTTTTTTGTTTGGTTGCTCCTGTTACATAGTGAGGGGAGGAGCCTTAGGTATTCCCGGGGTCGGGCCAACCCACATTGCTGGGTTGTGACATTGTATGTGGGGCAGAGGTCCAAAGAGGGAACAATGGTGCTTGCTCTGCTCTCTTCTGGCTCCCAGTCACTTTTCCCGCTTCCCACAAGCAAATTGGGCCCTTCTGGTGCTGATTCCCGTGTGGGTGGTTTGTGTATGTTCTAGGACCGTGTGAGGCTGGGAGTTTCTCCCCGCACCTCAACCCCCACAGGTATTTTCAATCAGTGGTTTGAGGCTTTATTTCCCTGCTCTAGGACCCTGAGTTACCCAGTCTGTCCCGCTACCCAGTTTTGCCTGGTTTATCTTCATGTGAATGGGGGACCACCTGGTCTGCCAGTCGCTGCTTTGCCGTGAGTCCTCTCCACCCTGGCTGCTCCACTCTGCCCTTCCTACTGGTCTGGATGAATGTGTCTTCTTTAACTCCTTGGTTGTCAGACTTCCATACAGTTCAATTTTCTGGCAGTTCTGGTTGTTTTCTGTTTTTAAATCGTTGTTGTCCTTCTTTTGGCTGTACGAGGAGGCACAGTGTGTCTATCTACACCTACATCTAGGCCGGAAGTCTCCAAAATGGTATTTTCATTGAAAGGAGTATTCATGCTTTCCCCTCATACATGTACTTGTGAACAGAAGTTCTTCATTTTAGTGTAGGACAATTTATCCATTTTTTCCCTTTTCAGGTAGAACTTTTAAATCCTGTTTAAGGAATTTTTTTCTCTCCTGTGTTTTCTTCTAAAAGTTTTATTGTTTTCTCTTCCTCATTTGTATCTATGATCCATCTAGAAAAACAATTTTGTATGAGTTGTATTTAAATTTAATGTTACATGTCAGTTTCTTGTCTTACTGAACCTGGGTGCATGCTAAGGTATCAAAAACCTTTCCTGTTTTCTGGAGGTGTTGAGTTTTAGACTTCCCTACAAAGAACCATATATATGCCATAGCAACAGAGAGCACACACAATATAAAAACGTATCTTCTTGAGTATGTGTGTGAGGTTTGGGAGAAGCTATCAGTTGAACTATGTGAAATTTTTATGAATCAACTGTTTCTGATCTACAAAAATGATATATTTATATAATCTGACCTCATATAACAAAGAATGTAGCAAGAAAAAAAGAACAAAGTTCAACAAGATGATGTTCATACCTGAGAAGTTCCTTTTTATTAATCAATGCTTTCATATATTCTGAAAGTTTCTTTTGCATTAATGCCAACCGAAGCCAAGCTCTTCCTCTGCCTACTGGTGTCCTACAAAAACACAGAAACCAAGTAACTAAAAGTAGCACAAATAGGGATCACAGTGGGACAGATGCACTTATTCTTGCTAGTGGTCCCCTAGCAGAACATGCTTACTGAGGTGCCCCTCAGAACCTCTCCTACCATGCCCTATGCGAAGAATTCTGTGTGAGCTAGAGAGACCCAGAGGGTGTATGCGGAACAAATGCTCTGGTGAGAAATTAATTGCTGAATGAGACAACAATTTAAAGGTAAGATCTGTAGGAGGCTCAACTGAAAACGTTCCATCAAATTAGTATTAGTAAATCCTCATAAATTTAGTGTGGATCATATTAAGTAACAATAATGTGGACACAGGCCACTTAGACCTCTATCTGATTAAAATGAAGCCAATTGGGAAGGTGATCAGTTCTCTTTCTCAAGTTCTGTGATAGGGTCCAGGTGTCAGTGACAATTGTTTTAATCTTGGTTTTCAAACTCCATCAAATGCATTCTTTTTCCTAAGTCAAGTCCAGTATGCCAACTCCCTTCATCTGATTTCTTGAAATTCACTAAATGATTCCCATAAGTACTTTAAAAATATAAGAAAATGTTTGGTATTTTAACATGAAGACAACTTCTCTCAGATTAATAATAAAAATTATCCCTCATAGGCATACCTCTCTTAATAGTCTACATTTTCAGTTCTCTCAAAACAGTGCCTATTCATAACAAAAGGATGCATTTTAGATTGTCATGGAATAAATTATTATGGTCATCATCGCCTTAGTCTCACTCTTCAAGTGGACAGTTAATAAGAATGTTTTCCCTAACAGACAGAACAGAATTCAATCTCAAGCTTACTTAAGTCCTGGAAGATCTTTAACACTTGCTGTTATCTCTGCAGCTTCTGGAACAAGTTTCTCTACCAGTTCTAGAGGCCCCCAGAAGGATTTATTTTGTCCAAGGAAAGTTTTCTTAGCTAAGGAGATAAAAGCAAAGCAGTATTTTAATAGTCTTTACAACATACATATGCCCTCAACACACACACACACACACACACACACACACACACACACAGCCCTCTCCCATCTATTCAGTGCTCTTTTCTGGGAACCATTCCTAGATTACCAGGTATTTCTAAAATTATTCATGGTTTTTAGAATATGTAACATTTTATGAAAATCAAAAACCCCTTACTTCCCAAGACTCAGTCCTTCCTCTCTCAAGGAGAATTTCTGGACTAGTTCTATAATGTAACAAAACATTTTAACAATATAAGTACTTAAAGCTGTGTGGTATCAGTGAAGATAACAGTCCAATGGGAAAAAATACATAAAAGAATATGTAATTCAGAAACAGGCTATCAAATATTAGGGAGGAAGAAGAAAAAGAAGCAAAGGTGAAAAGACCAGGTCCTGCCTGTGTTCAAAAGCTCACAGTTAAGTGGAAAGAGCAAGGAAGCGAGAGTCAGTCAGGAGAATGGAGTTCCAGCACTTCCCTGCCCCACTCACTGTGTGACTGTGGGAAAGCCACAGCCCATTCTAGGCCTATTTCCCACCTGTCCAACACAAAACACAGATCAGACTAGAAACTTGTAATGGCCCTTCCAGCTCTAGCATTTAATGATCCATGTTTTTTAAGCCATATAAAGTCCTTTAAATCAACCATATTCCTGTACCCATATAGGTTGTACTCCACTGAATTAATATTAATTCAAGCCTCTTATTCTTTGGCTCCACAAAAAATGCTTTTCTTCTTGAGCACATATTGTATTGTTAGGAAACAGCTGAATACAATCAGCACGTGGAGGCCATGGCCTACCTTTCAGGCCATGTTTCAGGCAGTGCTCCATCACCACGAAGAACTGCTGCAGAGGGGCGTAGTCTGAGTCCAGAGTTCTCCCCAGGTTCAGGGCTGATTCGATCAAACCCTTGATACTCAGCTTTGCCATGTTCATCAGGTTCATGCGTTCGTTAGCCATGAGATAATTAGGATCTGCAGCCAAAGGAGAAGATCATGTCTGGTTACTGAAAAGAGCGCATTTTAAAATTCAGTATAATTTTTCTGTGTTGACCTTTGCATTTGATGGTGCAAAAGCAATGGTGGGCAAAACTGTTGTTGTCTTGGCAAGAATCAAGACAGGGTTCCAAATTATGCTATTAGCTGTGTATCCTTCTCTGCCATGTACTTGTTTTATAAAAATGATGTCAATTTCTCTTAGGACTATCCTTGATAGAAACAGTAAAAATTATTTTATCAAATTGTGAGCTTTGAGTATAGTCATTTGATATTTTCACCATTGCTTCTGCCACCACCCTAACCCAGAAGCCCACTAGAGCTCACTATTCCTCACCCTTCACATTGGTCTGCTTCCACTATTGCATTGCCCCCTTATTCTCTATGCAATTTGTAAAGTGCTTTAAAAAATAAAACCAATGAGTTATAATTGGCAAATATGTTTTCCCATACAGTTGGATCTCTTTATTTTAATATTGTGTTCTTTAGCTGTGCAGAAGCTTTTTATTTTGATGAGATCCCATTTGTTTATACTTTCCTTTATATCCCTTGCTCTAGGGAACATATCAGTAAAAATGTTGCTGCGTGAAATAGTTGAGATTTTCCTGCCTATGTTCTCATCTAGGACTTTAATGGTGTCACGATTTATATTTAAATCTTTTATCCACCTTGAATTTATTTTTGTGTATGGTGTAAGTTTCATTTTTTTTGCACATAACTGTCCAGTTCTCCCAACACCATTTGTTGAAGAGGCTATTTTTACTGGAATTCTATACAGCAGAAAGAAAGAAGGAGCTCCTACCCTTTGTGACAGCATGGATGGAGCTGGCAAGCATCATGCTAAGCAAAATAAGCCAGGTAATGAAAGACAAATACCATATGATCTCACCTTTAACAGGAACCTAAACAACAAGACAAACAAACAAATAAAATATAGGTAAAGGCACTGAAATAGAGAACAGCCTGATAGTGACCAGAGGGGAGAGGGGAGGGAATTTCAGGGGAGAATGGGAAGGCTTTACAGGAACAAATATAAAGGACACATGGACAAAAACTAGGGCGGGGGGTGGAAATGGGAGGGAGGTGGGGAGGAATGAGTGGGTGCGCTGGGATGGGAGTAAAGGACAGAAAATTGTAGTTGAACAACTATTAAAATAAAAATAAAAATTAAAAAAATAAAAATAAAAATAAAACCAATGAGAAAAAAAAGACTAAAATTTCTTCCAATACACTATTTGCATTATTAGTATTAGTATTAATGCTAATATCATTATTTAAACTAAAGCATTATTAAACAAAATAATTAACATTATTGGTATAATGCAGTATTAGAACTTAATTCATAAATTTTTTAAGACTTAGCATAGAATGTGTGCCTCTCATCAAGCAGACAAGATATTCAAAGAAAGGGACTAAGACCCATGTTTTATCGACAGAATTCAGGACAATCTGGTCACTCATTAACTTCATTTACTGGTGTGTGTCCTGTGCCAGGTACAGTGGGCTGCTTCTTACAATTATGATCTCATTCCTCCTTACAATGTGCTAGAAGACAGTTACCAATGGCACCAATTTGCAAGGAAGGAAATGAGCCTTGAGGGGCAAGTCGCTGGCCCCTGCATATAGCTGGGAACAGATGAGAACACCAGAGCCTAGACCCTGTTTCTCCAACTCCAAACCCTGTGTTCATAACCCCCGTAGTCCACATACAAGTGAGTCGAAGACTCCAAAAAATGTTTACTCTTCCCTCCTGCTGACCATTCTTTCACAGGGTTATCTTGTTTGATTCTTGTGATTCTAGCATTTAACTAGTATCCCTTCTTTTCATGTGCTAAAGCAGGCCCTTAACAGTTAAGTGGTCCAAGGCCAAAAAGTTCAGACAGCAGCCTGTGGACCTGGGTTTGATGTGAAAGTTAACGCTCTCTGCGCTATGATACGCGTCCTCCCAAACATCAAATATGTCAAATTTCTACAAGAACTGAAAAAGGCCTCAAGATCTATGAAATATTTTTACTTTTCTTGGGAACACAAAAAATACTGATAATTCTATGCTCACATAATATAAACATGCCACAACACAAAACACAGGTTATTTAAATTGTTCCAAGCAATTTACTTCACACAGTATTTTCATTTAGATCTGTTTTCACAATTAAAAGAGCAGAATCAAAATTCTACACTCATTTTCTCCATTATGTTGAAGGGCTTACTGTAGATTTACAGCTCCAACTATACAAACCTTGGTTTATTGTAGTGTTTTATATGGTAACATTTTTAGAGAATACTTTATTATGAAAGTCAGAATTGGTCTATGTTGCCATTATTCTTTTCTTGCACACCAACAATGTTTCAGGGCATGCCTCAAATGTGGCTCTCTTTGCTCAGGGTAGGTCAAGTTGTCAAGAGTAGAATAAGCTCACAGGGGACACAAGTATTTAAACAACAACAAAAAGCTATCCCTGAATAACAGCTGTGAAGTACAAATTCATCAGATATTACTTCCCAGCTTTGTTACCAGCATTTATGGTAGTGTTTCCGACCTCCCACACTCACTGGGAGAAAGAAACAGGGCAGGGGTGTGCGGGTATGCATGAATGTTTGTGCTCAGCTACTGGGTTGTCCACTTAACACTTCCCTACAGACTGCAAGAAAATACGGTTGAAGTTGGATAACTGGTTGCTCATGAGGAACCATTCTCTCTACCTCAAGCCTGTAAATCATTAACCAATGCTGCTAGTGAAAGCATATAACCTGACTCCAACCTTGTGAGAACCAGTCACCTGGGGAGAGCTGCATTTGAATTATGTGCAACATTCGATGCCTTAGGATTTTTTTCCAGAAGGAGCGATAGATTTCTACTAGCTCTTCTATATTGCCTCATCTCATTTGTCTCATAATCAGTAGCAGAAATGTTCAAGATGTCTGGTTGGGGTCTCGGGCACATAATCTACAGAAAGATGGAACTAGTACCTAGGAAATTAAATTTCTAATACCTTGGACTCCATTGGTATGGTGCTAGACCCTATCTGAACTAAGCTGAATCCAACACAAACAACCTACCCATTCTTTAGAAATTACTTCTCTTAACCTTGGAACTACCAACATTTTGGGTCATAATTTTTCTTTTGGGGGAGGCAGGGTTGGGGAGGAGGGTGCTGTTCTGTGAATCAAGTTTAGCAGCAACTTAGACCTCTACCCACTAGATGGCAGTAGCACGCCCCAATAACGACAACCGCAATTGTCTTCAGATCTCCAGATACTGCAGTGTCTGCAGGGAGACAAAATCAGGTTCTCTCCCTGTTGACAACTGCTGCTCTAAAGAAATATTTAAAAAGTCAAACAAAAATCAGGGTAATTTGACACTTACACATAAGCCCTCAAAAGAATTACTGCTCAATATTATTTAATTAAAGTATAAGTTAAACATAATTTAATACATATTACCAACATTTTTGTGTTGCATAGTATACAAGAATAATGGTCATTACAAATAATTTTTTTCTTCTTCACAAAAATTTTAATTATGTTTCCTGGTTAGGTACTAAATGAAACTACTGAAAATAATTAGTACTTAACATTAATTATTATTTTTTAAATTTTATAATATTGGCTACTAACTATGAATACTGTCATTAACTTAATTTGTCACAGAATAAGAAATTCTCGATTCAATTAATTTGATGTCTTGACTTGTACTAAGGAATAAAATGATTTTGTGGAACTAATTATATGCTGTTAAAAAGGGCTGCAATAACCAGATGAGAGCATGAAGGGACCTCTGAGAAATTGGTAGAGTTCTATTTTTTGATATGCATATTAGTTATGTGAAATTGTTGAGTGTGTGAAAATTCATTGAACTGACTACCTATGTGATCTTTTCTGTAAATTTTATACTTTGAACTATAAAAAGTTAGAGTTTTATGTTGTATAAGTCAGAAAACTATTTTTTAAAAAATGCATGAATTTCACAATATCATTAGTCATACTTTTTTCTACAAGAAAAAATCATTAAAATTTTAATGTTCACAATGTTACCATTTAAGACTATTAATTTCAAAACTAAACTTTTGTTCATTCATTCATTCATTTTCTTCAATTAATATTGAATATATACTGGGTATTAGGTACTGTATTTAATGTTGAATTCAGAGATAGAAGACCTAGTCCCTGACACTGAAGTGCTTACTATTTATCAAACTTGGGTAATAGAGAAGCCTGGAGAATAAAACAGGGAAGCTTACAGAGAACACTTGAAATTTCAGGATAAAATATCACTTGTGACAAACATCAATCTTATTCCAGGACAAGTAAATTAAAATGATATATTAAATCAAATATAATGCCTACTGTATGAAATCAAATGTAAATTTTATATATATTTTTAAGGCTAAGCCAGGAAACATGGTATTAACATAGCATTTCAGGCAGGCTGCAAGTCCAATACAATTGCCTCTGCCACTGACGTGTTTCCATGGAAAAGTTTGAGAGGCACTGCAAACATACGGCAGTAACACTAACAAAAATATGAATAGGACACCATGGGAATATGTATAGAAAAAAGCTACCTGACTCAGCCCTCTATTTTTTCATTCAGATTTAAGGGGCAGGTATGTACTCATATATATAAGTTCTCAGAGTATGAGGATTTTTAAAAACTTGCGTTTATATACTGTACAGAATTTTAAGGAAATCAAAACCTATCCATTAACATGGCTATTAACATTGTACTGAGGGTGGCAGAACAATGCAATCAAAGACAAAGAAAATGGAAACACATAAACTATAAAAGAGTAGATCAAATATTATTGCACACAATCTGATTTTACACCCAGAAAATCGAACAAAATAAACTAAAATCTCTAGGAAAATACAGTAATTCACAGAGGTAGCAGAGGACAAAATTCACATGTAGGAATCACTAAGTGCCATATATTTTACTAATAGAGGGTGAGACTTTTCAGTTCAACCTTCAGGACAGA